TCAATAAGTTATTGAAGATGCATATGTGAACTCGCGTTACAGATTATTCATATAGGTTCACATATGCATCTTTAAGTTGATTTTCTTTTCAATAATTCATTTACAAGCATTTTCTTTCGCACAATATCATTATATTTAGCTTTCTCATTTGAACCATCAATCTTTGATGATAGAAAAGTTGTGGGCACTGGTTGCTCGTTAGTTTTTTAATATATTTATAGTTTTTTAAAATTTAAATATTTTAGCTGATTTTTTAACTCTGATTTTAATTTGCCTTCGAACCATCCCTCTTTTTATATAAGTTGTATCTATATGTACGGCTTTTAATTTCAGAACATATTTTACACATAAATCACGACGATTTCAAAAGTAGAAAAGTTCTGGGTATTGATTACTCGATACTGTTTTCGTCATTTTTACGCCTTTTTCTTTCAAAATTAAAATGGAAAAAAAATATGTATGGACTTTTATTGACATGGACCTTAAGGGAAAAGGATTTGTTCTCCTAGTTCATGTTGGTATTTACCATATAAATATCTGTCCTTTTTTGAACCCCACACCCCACTGCTGTCACAAGTCACAACTCATCGATTCCTAAATATTTCACCCAAAGACATGGCAATTCCCACTACTTTCCAATTTTCTATTTTAACCCCTCTATTCTTGCCTCAAAACATTTCAAACCCTGTACTTAATGGGATGTTTAAATTTCGGGACTATCAACGAGCTTCTTATACAATAAGTTATTAGGACGAGTTTTTGAAAAAAAAATCGTATACAAGTGTTAGAACACCAAGTTTTTATTATAATGTATGTCTGTATAATAATACCAAATTTAAACAAGTATGCCCCGGTAATGAATAGGAATAGGAAAAGACAATGTGGATACATGATACTACTATGTGGTCTTATATCACACGTATTTCAATAATTTGAAAGAGAGCCTCTATTAAAAGTGCTAAGAAAACTGACGAAAACGGTGTTGGAAAGACTTTTAAGCCCACTTCCATCATCGATGACGGAACATACAAATATCAAAATCATGTCATCATTGTTTCTTCTTCTTGGTCGTGAAGAACTCGCAAAAACCAAAAAATGATATTCATGACAAGCTACATTTGAATCGTAAATTGAACTTTGACGTGCACATGATACAATCATCTTGGTCAATATCATAGTGACTAAGGGGTTGTTTACCCAACACATACCCAGTAATCGCTTACCAGTAAGAATCAACGTTGTCAAGCAACTTACCGGGTGAAATTTTAGTTAATTAAAACAACGTTGTATGCAACAATTTATCCGACAAGACTTACTGGATAAGACTCTCGGTCCTTGTTATTGCTCTTACTGGGTAAAATTCTCAATCTTTGTCATATTCATCTAATAAGGTAAAATGACAGGGTAAATACTTATCAGATAAGTGTTTAGTAAATGACTCCTAAATATGCAACTGTCGATCAATTTCGTTCTGATTAGTATGAATTTTGTACCCTTCTCCAGTTTTTGTCTCATCTTTCATTCATGTTAATATGTTTTGAAAAAATTCTGATGACATCGTAGTTTACTCCATTACCATCAACATCCCTTGTTGCATACTCCAAACGAGTACCCTTGTCCTTGTGTTGTGGCTTGTTGTTTGTATGTTATAGGCATTAAACAATATAAGATCTCCATATAGTAACATATTAAGAAAATATGCAACTACTTAACTCTGCAGTTGTAGTAACTAAGCAAATATGCGGAGTAATGACATGTTAGAGATTCATTATTACTCCTTCAACACTTGAGTAAATGGTACGTTTGGAAAATTGGGTGATAAACTAGTTGACGAAAAAAATTAGTCGTTAGCTGATAAACAAGTCCAGTTTGCTAAATGTTAGCTGATAAAGTAGACGATAATGTTAAAAAGAATTAAAAGTACACTACAACAAGATCAGTTTCATATGTAACACCCTCAAATCTGGAAAGAGCGGCTACATTAAAATTTTCCATAATACAACAAATAAGGAGGTAAATTCTTAACTATTAATCAATACTTGAATTACCTCAAATAGCAAATTTAAAATCAAAATCAATAAATGATATACCAAGTCTTATTTAAAGACTAAGTTAAGGACGAATGTTACTATCACCCGACAAAGTTGAAATCTCCAAATAGCGGAAGACGTCATCGAATCGCTAGATCCTCCTTGTGCCTCTATCTAGCACTCAGTTCATCATAGTGCCTTAGTACCAAACTTCAACAAGGACCTGATGCACATGCCGACAAAGGAAAAATGTTAAGTTTAATGCCTAGTGAGTTCAAACAATTTTTATCATAATCATAAAACGGTACAACTGAAAGACTGCTGAGTTTAAATCATAATTTTGCAAATGAAATACATTTAACGTAAAAGCAACACCTTTCCAAAAACCCACCATTTTCTTGATAAAAATGCCCAATTATACGCAATCAAAAACCAATACTTACACAACCAAGAATAAATTTATAAAACATTAAAAACGGGAAACAAAGCTTTAATCAAGTATCATAAACAATTAACTCACGTTTACCCATGAAAGGGCATAAAAACATCCGAAGATGATGGGAGAGCCCCAATTTACCATTTGTTGTGACTAAACACATAAGTAAGCCACTAGTCAATGTTATATGAGCACCGCTTACAATTAAGCAAGCATTGACATCAACTTGTTCCAGACTATAGACAATAATGTAAGAAGATCGTTCACTTGGAAATTACATAATAATCACAATGCCTATTCTCAAGCTACAGTAAATGATGAATTAGAAATTACATAATGATCATAATGCCTATTTCCAAGCTACAATAAATGATGAATTGGAAATTACATAATAATCACTATGCTTATTTTCTATATAAGAAAAGGAATCTCAAGTTAAATTCTTTTACTTGGAAATTACATAATAATCACAATGCCTATTTTCAAGTTACTATTTGAGAACCTCATCCCTTATGTACTCCATAAAACGACTCTTATGCTTATGGATCAATTGCATTACAGTCTAAAATTACACGACACTAATTGAATGATTAATACGCCCAAAACGTATAATACATCAAATAAATATGACATAATCACATATAACTCCAAAAACCCAACATGGAACAATTAAATTGGAAAATTGTCTCGAAGACTCACTTAAGTCAAAACCGAGCCAAATGCTTGACTATTTTATAGAAGTCATCAAAAACAATGAAATGTATTTAACTATGTTTATGCAAATACATGTTCCAAATACATGATTAGCTCAAAAACACATCATTGATTGAGACAAATTGTTTTCCAATTAAAACCATACACCTTATATTTCCAAAATATCCCATAACACCATAATATGCATTTCCCAATCAAATAGACATAAATGCATTTATCATCAATTAATCTTTATTTAAAGGATAAAACATAAAAAGAACTCTCACTTATGATTTATTTATCAAAAGGTCCAAAAACCTAAATGTAAGCATTTGATTCATAAAACCAAATACAACAAATATGCAAAACTCCCAAAATAACCCACACATTTGATAAATAACAAGTAAAATATATTAATATTTTTAAAATGGACATGTTTTACATATATATAAGTTTAATAAAACAACTTGAACTACCTTGATATATTTGGGCTAAAGATAGGTTTCATCCTAAACTTGAGCTTCCAAAGTTGAAGACTTAGATCTATTAGCTAGACTTCCAGATCTATGATGAAAAAATTCTCAAGAACACTTACTTTATGCCCAAAACATGCACACACAATCCCAAAAGAAGAAATGAGAGTTGTTGGTGCAAAAGGACCAAACCTTAGATTCAAAAAGATGAAGATGTGATCTTACCTTCAATATCTATGAATCCCATAATCATCAAGGAATCATTAATCATCACTGTTCTCATCTTGAAGAGCTCAAAAAAGAAAACCATAGCAAAAAGAATCACCCAAAATGGAGTAAAGATGAAGAAGTTATGGCCAAATGAAGCTTTATCCCAAAATCCGAGTTTTAACCCCTGCCGACTATGTGCGACCCTGAAATGCGACCCAACCATGAGGGCCTTGAAACAAGAGTCACATTTTGCCAAAAACCACCTCATTGGGTACATAAAGTGCGACCCTAGCCCGGGGTGCAAGGGTCGCGATTCGAGGGTTGCAAAACACCCTTTTCTTAACGTTTTGAGCCTTTCTTGCTTATTTTCGACATTTGGTCAAAGACCAAAACTCCCATTACTTAGCCAAATCATTCCATAGATGATGAACATATTGAAACTTGAATTCATAAAAATTCCGGTGTTACATTGTAGGACGTCAAAAGTGTAAGGATTCCAATAAATTACTTTATAGGACTTCAATTTAGAAAACCGAACACTTGTGTGTAATATTACAACACTTTTAGATAGAACACATAAGTATTTGGTCCTAAAAACATAGGTTTTATAAGTAGTCTAGTAGGGCAGATGATCATATATGCTCTCATATAGACCCTTTTGTTACAATGACATGTTGTAAAATTACTCAATTTTAATATAAGGGTCTTAATTGGAAAAAGAACATTTAGAAAAGCTCCCCTAATTGATTGGAAAACTATAATTTGAAGTGTTTCAAAATGATAGCTTATAAACAAATTTATGGATCAGTGAATAATGTATGTTTGATTGATGATGATAACTCATAAGTTAGAAATGGGGCAAAAAAGTTTGATATCAATATTATAGGGGCTTGAACTAGAAACTACAAAATGAAATATTCAAATGTATTTGTTTTGGGAATTTAAAATGTTTTTACACTTTGTGACCAAAGAATAATATACTTTCTAACATAATATAATAAGAATGGAACCAAGTAAACCATTGGGGTTAAATGTGCTTTCCATGAGGGGCTCCCTTTCCTATTAATTTGAAGCCTCATTCCTCCAGCCTGCCCCTCCATTTTCAAAACCTGCTGCAAGTCTTAATCCCCTCTCTCTCTCTCTCTAAAATTCCATTCCAGCAAACCCTCCTTTTTGGGTGACAATTCACAGAAAAGTAATCTTAAATACAAAAGGGTTTGCCATCTTTTGTAGAATCTTCTGCCTCATCCACATGGGGAGGCACTCTTGTTGTTATAAACAAAAGCTAAGAAAAGGTCTCTGGTCCCCTGAAGAAGATGAAAAGCTTATCAAGCATATCACCAAGTTTGGCCATGGCTGTTGGAGTTCTGTCCCTAAACTTGCAGGTTTTCCATTTCTACTTTTTTTCTTTCTATCTTTCTTGATCAACTCTTAATCTTTCTTCTATGTGCAGGCCTTGAAAGATGTGGTAAAAGTTGCAGGCTAAGATGGATTAATTACTTGAGGCCTGACTTGAAAAGAGGCACATTCTCTCAGCAAGAAGAGAAACTCATTATTGAACTACATGCAGTTCTTGGAAACAAGTAAGTGGTGTGTATGTATATATATATATATATATATATGTTCCGGCCAATGGCTAATGGGTTCCAGTTCATTTTTCTAGATGGTCACAAATTGCTGCTCAACTGCCTGGAAGGACAGACAACGAAATCAAGAACTTATGGAACTCTTCAATCAAGAAGAAGCTAAGGCAAAGAGGGATTGATCCAAACACTCATAAACCACTATCGGAGGTCAACGACGACCATAAAGCTCCGTCTGGGAGTAACGAGAGGAACTCACAGGGTTCCTACCAAGTCTCCAACCTCGACGAGAAACCAGAACCACCGACGACGGCCATGGCAGCATCTTACCCACTCATTGACAACCCTCCACCTGCAACACACGAATTCTTTCTCAACAGATTCGTGACCAGTCACGAGAGAGCAAACAAGCAGCCGGATTCCCACCACCTCTCGGGATTCCTCCCTTTCAATTATACCCAACAACAACAACCACCACCACCACCACCGCCGGACTCCGGTGATCTCTTCTTCAACACTGAATCTAAGTCATCCTCCGAGATGAATCCGGAGTATTCGAATACCATTTCCAACACCCTACTCTCCGCTCCGCCGCTGCCGCGCAGCACCACCATTTTCCACCAGAATAATTGGGGGAGTAGCAATAATGGAACCAACGGCGGTTACTTCCAGACGAACAGTGGTGGGTATCCATGGGGGTTGACTGATTGCACCAAAAGCCAAAACCAAATTAATGACACTGTAGATGGCGAACAAGATTACACCAAGTGGAACGATCAGTTTCTTCAAGTTCCATTTTTGATGGGGAAATCATCGATCGAGGGAAAACCTGAACCCAATTTCCACGAATTATATCACGGACAGCAAGGTGTGGATATATATAACAAGCATTTTCAGAGGATTTCAACAAGCTACGGACATTTTTCATAGATTTTTCAGTTCAGCGAATTCAGAATTCATACTCGTGTGACCCTTCTAGAGGTTTTCTCTTCTCCTTTTAATGTAAATAGGCTCTCCAGAATTTGTCAATTTCTTTTAATTTGCTTCGGTTTCAAACAACCCATAATTATTTTCTACAATATTCCATTGGCTTCATATTCTCAATGTATTCTTTTTATTACTATTATTATATATTGTTATTATTTATTGTTATAATTATTGACACTCAATATCATTTATTATATGGCCAAATTAATAATTCAAATTAGTTAATTAATTTGATTAAAATCAAACCAAAATAATATTGTTGATATCATTAGAAGAAAAAAGTGTATAATTGATAAATTATTCTGTTTTTCTATATATATATATATATATATATATATATATATATTGATGTGTGTGTGTGTGTGTATGAAAGAGAGAGATCAAAACTCTACAAGTGTATCATGATGTTTTTATATACCTTTCATTGTATTTATGGTAAAGTTACAATAGTTTAGTGTATTGTTCGTATGCATGACATCTTACGTCAACCTTTCATGTCAAGTTAATTGATACTCTTAGTGGTTTTTGACTTTTTCTATTGTCGTTGCCTACAATGTTTTCTTCTTTTTGTACTCGTTTTTTTCTATTAACGGGAAAAGGTTGTATTGAGAATCGAATACATACTAAGATAATATGAAACCTGCAACAACCGGAACTAAGACTTGTAACTCTAAGGGATGAACAAGTAAACATCTTTCGATCGAGGCACAAAAGGTGAAACAAATAGGCCGAATATACATTGGATTTCAAACTCATCTTGCTGTCTTTTTCATGTAAATTGAAATGAAAACTTGTATACAAATTCCTCCAAAGTAGCAAAAATATTACCTTTAGGGTTTCTTACACCTTCAAGGTAGCAACCTAAGTTGTGCAATTCTCCCTTTATAACGTTATCTTTTGATTCTATTTTTTTCATTTTCGTATTGAACGATATTAAGATCAAAAGAACACTCTCTTGGTTATGTTTGTTTTACTTTTACTTCACATGTTCACTTTTCTAGGAACACAGAATTTTAAAACTTTCTTTGATTGACACCCGCTTTTTCTAATAAACATTTACTTTTTTATTTATTTCCTAACACCATTCCCAAACTTCTAATAAGAGTCCTAAAAGATGACTTTTTGCAAGAAATAGAAAAAAAAAAATCTTTCGACACTTTTTCTTCTATGTTGACTACACAAATTATACTTCCTAAAATTTAGATGCGCTCTCCATTCTCTTGCCACACGAAGTTGTCTATCCTTAAAAAGGAAAACTAGTTGGTTTCTCATTTCTTCCATGCTCTAACCACCACCATCCATTGTCTAAGATCTAGTACCTCTTCCCTCGCTCTTACCACCATCACTCCACCTTTCTGCTCATCGGGTTTTCTTGGTGATGCTAAAAATCCATATCAAGATCAAGAGATGTGAAACATGTGCAGGCTGCAAAGTCCAAGACGATTGATATCATTTGAGATATAAAATAGGAGGCCCCACTAAAGAAATGAGGAGTGTCAGCGACGGGAAATTCTGTTGCTGACCCGTCGCTAAAGGCATAATCGATCGCTGATCGTCTGTCGGTCAAAAGTTCGTAGGTAATGCTATCAACGACGGATACAGATCAGCTATAGATAGTATTTGCGACGGAAATGTTTCAGTGACGGATTAGCAACGGAAAAGTTTCGGCTATAGATTTTTTTAAGGACAAATTAGCGAGGGAAACCTTTCAGGGATGGAGTAGCGAGGGATTCTTTCAGCGACGGATTCGCAACAGATTCTTTTACCGACGGATTAGCGAGAGACTTTTAGCGATGGCTTAGCGAGCGACCATAAACTTTTAGCGATGGAAAACGTTGCTAACTTTTAATAATTTAAAATAAATAACTTATAATTACATAATTCATACAAAACCTGGCCATAAACTAACAAATCAAAATTGTCAACAAATTAAAACTAACCAATTCATATAATTCAAAACATCCAAATTCACATAATTTAATATTCAAATTCATACAATCTAAGTACTGGAAGGTGGGAGAGGGGGGAAAACATATCCTCACTGCCGCATAAAAGCAACAAAATGCTCCAATAACGCGATCTGTTCAGCCAACTGGACAACGTGTCTAGCCTGTTCAGCCCCCAAAATTTGCCCTACTCTTCCATTCGACTTCCATCTCGGCTTGATGGCGTTCCTCCCTAGCCGCGCCTCCTCCTCTAGCCTTGCCAACTTCTTTCTCAAGTCTGCTACCTGTAAATATTTAATATTCGACAAAATTAGTAATTTGTTCGCAATGAAAGTAATGATAAAGTATATAACAATATAACTAACATACCTCTGTTGTTGATCTAATATAGTATGATCTCTAGGTGCTACTACTACATCTACCAATCACAGCATAAGAGGGATCCTGGGAGGTCCGGAAACCAAAAATACGGTCCTTCTCCGTCCTCCGACATTCTACTCCTAAAGAGTTCTCCGTCCTCCGACATTCTACTCCTAAAGAGATGCCTTATCAGGGGGATGAGTGTTAGTACTAGATTGTGACTCATCCCTAAGAGATTGAAATCACTCCTATGGTTCACCAAAAAAAAAACGGGTGAGGTTATATATGTAGAAATTTCAGCAGCATAATGGTTGTAAATCAAACATATCCAATGCATGTTTTTAACAATTAAAGCATTCTAACTACTAATGATAGTCACATTCTCAACCTATCTACTTAGCCTAACATCTGCCCAACAATGGCAGCCCAAACTAATAGCATCACTATGTTTATTATAATATATTACTTTAAACCTACCAAATGTATCTATAAATGAAAGTAATGGTTTTGGAAAACTTACATGATACCTTGTAGCTTTGGGGTAACTGGCTGAGGAGGATTAGTAGGCGGGCCGGGTGAACCTAGATTGAACTTCCAGTTCATGTAGTGAGTACACACAAACACCTCAGTAGCATTCGGCTCACGACCCATTACCTGTGCCGAGATTAGAAAATTAGGTTAAGTTATTAGTAAACATAGAGAACTAATTACATATTCAAAAAAAATTATATACTCACCATCCTGTCTCGATGCTGTGCAATACTGATCGATCCCACGGTGTGCCCAAACGACACCCCCTCAAACTGTGTGTTCTGATTGGACTTATTGATCCTGGATTTCTTTTTCCAAGGCTCGGTATCCCAAACCTATTAAAAACAGAACGCATATATAAGTCGGTACAAAATACATGGCATTTCAGGAAGCTCATAATAGAAATACATACGTGGTCAATCATCTAAATCCAAACTTCTCTGTGATCGATATAGGGCGGTGTAGTCTAATCCATGAGAAGTCCTCACCGTCCGGCTGCTGAGCATCGGGATAGGCCTATGCCACGACCTAGTCACGTGTATCGCTCATCCAATCTGAGTACCTATTGTGCATGGCTTTGGTCCATAAATCACGAAACATGTCATCCAACCTACATATATAATATTTGTATCAATGTAAAAACAATAACCTTATATGTATAATTACATTAAAAGAGTACACCAACCCGAAAGCGTTGGAACATCAAATCACAGACTTCCGAAGGGACTTCCTTCCATCTATGCCATAACCAACAAAGGAAAACCTAAATATAGTCATCATCGCCTGGCTAACATGAGCATCTTTAAACATGGACAATTAAAAAAACATATACAACATAAAAGATATTCATATCATTTTAGTATGTAATACAAAGTCTTATACCACATCTACTTACTCATTGCCTAACAAAGAAAGATATGGTCGCTGGATCGGATGACTGGGTGTCGACATCTCATGGTTGGGGACTTTCCTCGACCCCGAACTAGTCGAGGCTGGGGCCTCCATCTCTCGGTCATCTATATCGTGGTGGCTGATCTATGTTAACTCCGCCATGTCATCGACGCGTGGGTCGCCACTCCCGCCAGCAATTGCTGCCCCTACCAGACATGAGGCTACCTCTACTACCATGACGGCCTCTACCACGCTCTCTATGTGACATCTCCTAAAAAACAAAAAATTCTATCCTGAAAAAAGACAATGAAAAATCGCGATTATATGTGCAATTGTGAAATAAGCATACAGAAGACAAGCTACTCATTAAAAGAATAATCAGATAGCATTGGTTCATCTTCATAATTTGAATCATCATCTATGTCTTCAGATTATGGTTCATCCTCGCTATCTTCATTTCCCGACACATCATCGCATCGTCCTCCAATTCGTCGCCACCTTCATCTTCATTAATATTATGGAGTACATTTACCTCCCCTGTGGCAAGACGAATATTATCGAGCTCGTTTCTCAATGCAAACATTGTATGGTTTACCCTTTCATTGATTAAGCCTAATGTTTGTCGAACAATTCCGCAATCCAACTATAAATAAATAAAACCAAGTTTAATGTTTGTCCAACAATTGACAACCTAACTACAAATGAATGTTTGCATCACATAACAAAGTAATGTAAACTAAAGTAAGTTAAACTCATTTGAAGCAAAAATGACATAATCGCTAAGCGAACTCAGTAATCATTTCAAACAAACCCATATATGGATCATGTGGTCTAAAATCCCAATTTCTAAAGAACAAACAAAGTTTTACGATTTAAGAAATTTCTAAAGAACAAACCCATTTATGATTTGTTTAACCCAAATGTATATGGAAAATTTAACAAACATATATAAAGTAACATTTCACATTGCATCAAAATAACCCTAATGTTTGACCAACAATTGACAACCTAAACTAACAATGATCTAAATCTAACATTTCACATTTCTTCAAAATAACCCTAACATTTCACATTTCTTCAAGATCCCAATATTGACACATATTTATATACCTACGCACATGAACACATTTATTTACATATCTAAAACACGTATATAGACAGAATTAAACACATATATACCTAAAAGAACATGTATATCCACATAAATACCCTTAAGATTTGCAAAAAAAGATTTGCAAATTTTAGGGTTATAGGTTGGGATGAAATCGTTCACAAGGTTTTTGTGGTGGAGAAAGAGAGAGAGAGAGAGAGA